CTTAGATTTTGTCTAAGCCTGAACTCTTTTGCCGCTTTCTTGCGCTTCTATGTTGTGTGGCAAGCTCGAGGTTGAGAGGTTTTCTCTGTACCATTTTGAGAGACTGCATGGGATCTTCAGATTAACCCATTGCGGACCGCCGTTATAATTGCACCTCCGTAGGTTTTTGTCATCTCTTTTATCAGTGGCCAATAATCTATCAAAAATTTAACCAGTATGCAAATAAGTGATATATCCTGTGTCCAAAAAAGTAAACTGATGATTTTGTAACTTAGCAAAATGCTGAAAAAATCGAAGATTACTGTCCTTCTCCGCGTGGTGGCGTGCTGCACCATGTGCAGCACGCGGTCCGCAATGGGTTAATATGCTTTGAAACTCTTACATAGACATAGAAGCTCAAGAAATTTCTTGAGTTCTCAGTAAATTCTCATTGTGCTTTACTTAATGACCACCGTTTTTCCCGACACTTTTCGCGAACTGATGGAAACTTTGCTCCACTTCAGAGAAAAATTTTGGACTCAGACTCACCATATACGTATAATTATTACATGCCTCTGCTTCAGGTTGCGACTTCGCATAAATCGAGATCGTGTTGTTTTGTTAGCGGACAATTCTAGAAGCATTTACGACTTCTGTGTGCCCTTCTATATGGATTCGACAAATGTTCGACATAAATTTCTACCAGATGTTGCAAAGTTGAAGTTTTCAGTGCCGATATACTATCCATAACTTTGTTTGTTGACCGCTCCCGATGATTCTTTTTATACTAGTATTTAGAACAGAAATGACTCATTTGTAAGATTTTGATCAAAGCGGTGATGTATTCTTTCCGGTTTTTGTTGCAGATACTGTTGTGCTATTTTTAACACGGGTACACATACTTGTTTTATGTTGTTCTCACTTTTAATAAATTTGATGAATAACAATGTATGATAGTTTTGATGTGAAGGGTGTTACCACAAGTTCATGAGTGCTCGAAACCTTTGAAATTTCGTTATTCAGAGCCGTATTTGTAGCCATCTTTAGATGTCACATCTGGCAGCACGCTGTAGTCTTCGATCGAAAATCGGTGTTTGCTTTTTGCCAGGTGGACTCCGAAAAATTCATGTCAGTTTTTAGTTCAGCGGATTCACTTGGTGCTTCATAGGGAGCGATTGGTGTACACGCTTGCTTTGCCAATATAAATAGAATTTGAATGATCTGCTTTTCAAAAGCAAATTTCACGATAAGCAAGATGAACAAATGCATTCCGTGGTTAGGACAGGTATTCACGTTGGTAGACATTGTCTAGTACCATTACCGCGGCTCGAAAATGAGCGACAAGTGGGCTCAGGCCTTGGTTGGCGATCCTGGCTTCAGCTG